AATTCCCTTCACACTGTCACCTGTGTGATCTCATGAGCAGTGGCGTGTAGCAGTCCCAATAATATGTTTAGTATCAGTGTGGGAGCTAGGTTTCACATTGTGATCTCTAAGGCAGTAGTGAGACACAAGGATCAGAGGTGGTTCCATTAAAGGTCATGTGGTTAATAGTGTATGGGATCAGTGTTTCTGAGGACATGGGGAAAGGTTCAGGTTCATTTTAAAAAGAGTTGCAAACACTGCCAAGATATTTGTATCGGATGGGCCTATCCGATGTTCTATCACCCCAAGATATGCGATGCAGTGTCAGTAGGATTAGGTGCGATGGAATTACTATCGGTATCTAATGCTCTGACACCATATTGCAGTGTAATTCCATCGCACCTAATCCTACTGACACTGCATCGCATATCTTGGGGTGATAGAACATCGGATAGGCCCATCCGATACAAATATCTTGGCAGTGAAAATGACAACTCTGATTCTCTCTTTCTCATCAATTTGAGACTTGAGAAATCAGAGTAAGTCCATCCTAAATAATTCTTTCAAGAATCTCCTCTGCTCTTTCATTTTCCTAACATATTGTTTGTAGTTTTTATTTTGCTTTGCTGTCTTCATTTTTTTCTCTGTTCCCTGTGTATGCATGTCAGCTATGTTGAGCCATTGCCTTGTCTCTCACCCACTCTTCCTCCCTCACAGAACTAACTGTTCTGCTCATACCAGATTCAGTATCTTTAGGGCACTTCTAGGACTCTTTAGTCTTTTCAAGTAGTGCATCATCTTTCCTCAAGTGATTGACTCAGGTGTAACAAGGAACCTTGTGTTGAGCCCTTTGGAATGTTTTGAGCTCTGGTGGTGGTCTTTTCCTTGGATCCTGCCAGTTATCCAGTCAACAAGTGTCAATATCCAATTGACATAATCATATTTTTCGACCTTAATTATCTAAATAGAAAAGAGAATAGAGTAGAGAAGCACCTATCAAATTCATCAATAAAATCCAATCACATAATGAAAAGAATGTACAAATAAGTTAATACATTGGTCTAGAATCAATAACTGAAGAATAGCTGTTTAAGATAGAAGAAACAACACACATCATCTTAAAGAAACTTTTGCCACAATCAATTCTAACACCCTAATGATATAAATACTACAGCAAGGAGCTCACATGTACGTCTCTTTCCCCATGTTGGGAAAGAGATTGTACGTATCAATCACTTCTCTGACTCATCTGTTTTCTCTTCTTTATTTTCTCATTTCCTTTCTCTTGTATGACTTCGCAATCCTGAACATCTGTTACCTTGTACTTTTCCTACTCAGACTTCTTAGCAGAACACCCTGAGATCAAAGCTCACACACTTGTGTCCATCTCCGTATTTCTTTCTCTATTTGCTGCACCTCCGTATCAGGTCAGCCACTGTTGTACAGAGACGGATAGGTCACACATTTACTTACCATTGCTCACATATCAGGGTCATGTGTTCCAAAGCAATTAGAATATTTTCAACAGGGACCTGGAGTTTGGAGGTCATCTAGTAGAGAGAAGGTTGAGTGTGTACAGTGCCAAATTTTTATCCTCCCTCTTTCTCTCTTCAGTTCTTTTGAGTTTCTTCAGTGCTCCATGGATTGGTGCCTGTTTTGTGGTTTTTCTAGGATGAGGGCAGCTTCTTCAAGCATCCTTCTCATCATTGAAACTATCTCTCTATTGGTGGTGGAATTCCCCCCTTCTGGCCCTGCCAATGCCTCTTGGACATTGGATTTCAACACTGCTTTGGAAATTTTTCCTCAAGGAACTTGAGATTTGACCAAAAAAATCAGTAATCTACAACCCAAAAGTCTTCCAACCCATCCAATGGTCCTGTAACTCCACCTGGTGACTAAATTTCTGGGTGTGGGCCTCAATCATGAATGAGACTTTTCCCTGTGACATTCCACAACCTTGTGATTGACCCACAGACCCACAGCACAACATCTGCTTTGTAACTGCATAAGTTTAAGAGCTGCAAAAACTAGCATTAAACCTTTTTTCCTGAATAGCCCCAGGTTTTACTGATGGGGTAAAACAATTGGTAGCCTCACAGCTTTTTTTTTTTTTTAAAAAAAAAAAAACAAGACAACAACAAACCATTACCAGCCATAAGTACAGGCTCCTAGGGATAATCCATCTCAATAGGAATACATAGGAAATGCAAAGTAGATTAAAAAAATATGCAAAAATGGAACTGAACACAATACCTTCAAAACCCCCCTGTTTTTGCAAATGAAATACACCTCACCTCTAAAATCCCATAATTCTGGGGGAATAATCCTCCTCCTCCCTCATAAAAAAAGGGATAGTTCTTTTGAAACCTAAATTTTAGTTCTGGAATTATGAGCTGAATGGCTTGGGTGCCACATGCAAGATCAAACTGCCTGACCACAATCATGGTGCCCTTCTGCAAGGCTGTCACTGTCAGGGGCTCTGGAGAGTACAAAGGGGTGTTCTTGTGTCCTCAAAATCCCCCAAAGCCAATGGCTCTCTCAATGAGCACTGTAAATAGTAGTTCCATTACTCAATTTTTGTTTCTTGCTTGTACTACTCTCTCTCCTTGACCCAGTCACTGATCCAATGAGAGGCACTGTGGGACCCAAGATGCAAGACATTCTGCTTAACCCTGCCCATATTGTTTCAAGTCACTGCAATTCTGCCAGATATTTACAAGCTGGGATGATTGGGGTCATGAAGTGCATATAGGTTGCACAGTCCTGTAAAAAACAGAAAAAATTCCCACAGCCTGAGTCATGTCACACTTACATGACATGTTTTCATGGACCATACCATTGCTACTCATACCAGTAACATGCATATCTGGTAGCAATGTCAGGAAAATCCAAAACAGCCTCTATTCTGGCTTAAAGCCAGTTATAACCTGTAAAAACACAATTAATGTGTTATGTCTTTGGTGTGTACACATGGGACAGTTGGCTTGAAATCTGCCCACTCAAGTCACAGTGTAGGTACATAATCATATCATGATTTTCTCTGGTAAATCCTACACCTTCATGCCATAATATACATATCTAATTAAACACATGATTCAACCAACAATGACATTTGCAATTGAAGGCAAGTTCAACCATTGACTATTTCCACTACAATCCCAACAGACATCCTCAGCAACAAATGTCTCTTTGTACTTGTCCCTGTAATACCTGCACAGTCAAGTTCAATGGGGAAGGGCTCTTTGTCACCCAACATACTATTACCAGCCATTTTCAAAAGCAACAGAAAGCCATGTCAGTCCCATAAACCAATGAGTAGATTTGATTATTTGGAGGAAGTGAAGCCTCTGTAATTAGGCAAGATGAAAAGACTGGCAAGCACCCTTTTTTTCTTCCCATCAAAATAATAGCCTTTGCTGTGGGACACATAAAGGATAGGGTAGTATTACAAAGGTGAAGCATGAGGTTTTTTACATACTTAGGGTACATATTTCCACCAGCTTTCATGTATGGCTATGCCACAACATGCACTTCAGTATGCATTTGTATATGTGTTGGTGGAATGATTGATACAGACACTGCCAAGATATTTGTATCGGATGGGCCTATCCGATGTTCTATCACCCCGAGATATGCGATGCAGTGTCAGTAGGATTAGGTGC